AACATGATCCTTCTACCTATAAGGGACGTGGCTTTCTTTAGCCCTCCTGTGCCATCTTCCTTAATGTTGGCATTCATCCTGATGTTGCCACTTTATTTGATACAGGGTCTCACTACACAGCTCGGACTCCTATAGTGATCCTCCTGTCTCAGCCTCCTCAGCACTGGGATTATAGGCATGCAGCACTATGCCCAGTTTTGGGGCCAGCACAGCATGCAGTACCCAGGATCGAACTGAGGACCTTGCATTTACCAGGCAGGTGCTTAGACTGCTGAGCTATCTCCCCAGCTCAACTGCCACTCTCTTAAGTCCTCTGTCCCTGGTTCTATGTGGTGGCTTCTAGTCTTCCCACCATCAATTTTAAGTAGAAAGTCACTAGAAAAATTCAAGCTTCAGTCTGTCATTTGCTTGAGAGGCAATCATGGGAAAGGCAGTTAATCATCTTTCCTATCCTTGTCTCAATGTCCTCATCTGTAAAGGAGGATCCTAACACTGCCTCTCAGAGTCCTTGCAAAGGCCAAATGCATGATGTGTTTGAGAAAGCATTCTAGAAATGGTTGTCTGCTGTCCACACAACCACAAATCCCTGCACTTGGAGGAAAACTCTGAGGACTGGGACTTTTCCCTACCTTTGTGAACCCAGGGTCTGACCTGAAATGGGTGCTCCATAGATGGTGGTTAGGGGTCTGCCAGCTGGGCCAAGCAGAGGGTCAGAACCCCCTGAGAGGGGCTGGGGAGATGGCTCAGTGGAATAAGTGCTTGCCTGGCAAGCGAAAGGACCTGAGTTCAATCCCTGGTTCCACAAAAAAACAACAACAACAAAAAAAAAAACCCACTGAGAGAAAGACCACTGAAGACATTGGAGAGGACAGTGATGAAAGAGAAGATGAAAAAGGAATGAAAAGAAGGGAATGGGGAAACTGCTTAGCACCAGGAAACCCATGCACAAATGTGAAGTGTGCCAACAGTGGGAGAGAGTTCGGAATAGCAGGGCTGGGCCCATAGCTTTTACAATCCAGCCTTAGACTGTGTAGTCCAAACCCTTCCTTCAGAGGAAAGAAAATAACAATCCTTCTGGGGGGAACACTTGCCAAATACTATGAGGGGAGTTCTAGGCCCAACCATGACAAGAATCTGTTGGAGTCACGCAGGCCTGAGTTGGATTCCTGGGTGTAAACTGGGTGATCTTGTGATCAAGTAGTTTCTCAAGCTCACAGTTTCCTCCTGAAGGGAAATGGGTAAATGATGTCTCTACCACACACGCCTATCATCAGAATTCAATGAGATGGTGTACATAAAGCTGCCCATGGAACGTGGGGCTGGAGGAGGCACTATAAAAGTGACCAATCTTCCTCGCTTTCTCCACCTTGCCCGCTTTCCTGTTTAAGACTATGATGTTGGGGGGGGGATGGTCAGTGTTGTAGGTCGGCTGATAGGTGTCAAAGTGAACACCACAAGCCTACAACCTCATCAATCAGAAACAGGCTACATTATCAGTGGCCAGGATGAAGGCAAAGTAGTAACAGGTAAGGATTTAATAGGAAGGACCAAAAAGCTGGGAGTTCAGCAACCTAAAAATAACTTGGCCTCAGTCCTCCAGGTGCAGGAGCAGAGGTGGGGACAGAAGTTCTAAAACCTTTGCCAGCTCTTTGGAGCTCCTACAGAGACATTGTGAGGTCTCAGGCAATTTGTTCTCTTCAGTGCTGGAGGAACAAGGATGAGTGTCCTGCCAGCCCTCCCCACCCAGGGAGTCTGTTCAGAAATGCTTTCCCTGGCTAGTGTGGCTGGGAAATTCACTTCCCTTTCCCAGCTCCCATCCCACACAGCACTGAGGGTATTCATGGGGCATAGAGCTTTCTAGGTTACCTTCGTTTATAGTTCCTTTAAAACCCGGAGACAAACCACCTATTAATTCACCCCTCCATACTGGGAAGGCAGAAGCATCTTTTAGAAATTCAAAGGAAGCTATTAAACCAAGTGGGTAGACATTCTAACTCATAATAAGCTTTCCTCCTTTAAAAAAATGAGTCAGAATGACTTTCCAGGAAGTTTGGTTAAGTAAATTAGTGACTTCTTTTTTCTTGCTCTTAAAAACATGCTGTAATTTGAGGTTCACCTAGGCACTGATGCTACAGGGCAAGGAGTTGAATCCAGAGGGACAGACCGAGGGCTGGTGGAGTTCCAGACAGCACAGAAGTTGCAGATGTCACCGCCTTCTGCGGGGTTAGCAGAATCCTCGCAGAACCTTTCCCTGATTGGTGAACAGAGCAAAAGCAACCTCAGGAGCTCAAGCACCGACGCCACGCAAAGGGAAAAGAGCAGCCAGCCATTTGGAAAGCCCTCAGCAGCAGGGCCCGTTGTGTACGCTACAGCCCTGGCTCATCACGCTGCCTTCAAAGGTAATGATCCCGGGGAGATGGCTCAGTGGAATCAGTGCTTCCCTGGCAAGCACAAGGGCCCGAGTTCAATTCCCGGTTCCGCCAAAATCAATCAATCAATCAACAAAGGTAATGGTGATCCCGGCAGCCCGCACCAAGCACCATGCTGAGGGCTTTTGACATCATGTCAAGAAACTCTCAACACTCTCTCTGAAAAAGACATTAATGTTCTGTGTTTAGGGAAGAGGTATGGATAAATGATCCGTTGGCAGAGCCAGTCAGTAGCACAGTTGCATATTTTACCCTAGGCTGGTTTGATCCAAAATCTGTAGCCTTTAAAGGCATCTCTGTTCCTGTCTCCTGGAGAGTCAAAGGGACTGATCTGAAGTCACACAGCCCACTGACTGTATCCTTGCTGACAGATCCTGAAGGTCCGACTTTATATTCAGATTTTTCTCTTCCTTTACCAACTTTACACACAGTTCTCTCAGTCCCAAATAAGAGGCCAGAATTTGCTTAGATTATCCATAACATGTTAACCTCCTGAATGTTCCAGGCAAGGTCAGAGACCCCCTATTCCCTGGCTCACTTTTTAGGGTTCTGGGAGGCTCATTTTCACGCCCAATACTGTTCCCATGGCTTGGTCAGGATAATAAGTAACAAAGAACCAAAGCCAGTGCTAAATGTGGCCTTTTCCATGTGGACAGACTTGGCACAGGTCACTGTAGCAAAAGGCAATCAAACCTCCCAAGACCAGGCTCCTGGACTCTGATGTTTCTCTAGAGAAGGGCGTCAGTGGGAAGACCTTTTCATTCCCTTCCCACTGAGTGGCTCTCAGCTTCTTGCGATTGAGGAAAATTTCTTCTCAGCTAGGAAGGATGGATGGGTGCATTTTCCCAGACTTTAGTAAAACATGATTAGCTACAAGGGCCTGAGTTCAATCCCCAGTTCCACCACAAAAAAAAAAAAAAGAAGAAGAAAGATGCTTAGCTAACAAACTGATTGAAAGGTGGGTACAGGTTGGGTGTGGTGGTGGCTGCCTATAATCTCAGCATTCAGGAGGATATAGAGGCCAGCCTGGACTACACAGTGAGTTCAAGGCCAGCCTGGACTCCAGCAGTGTGACCCAGTCTCAAAAAAATGAGGTCTGGCCAGCGAGCTAGCTCAGTGGTCTAAAGTACCTGCTTATGCCCACCACACCAGCCCTGCCCTCAGGGTGGACTGGGCTGCCCCCACTAAAAAAAGTAATAGGTGTTGGGTTGGTGGTAAATACCCCTGAGTTCAATTCCCAGGGACACAGTATTTTAAAAATTTAATAAGTAAACTGGGGAGCGAAAAATTTGTGAGAAATGTATCCTACAGATAAATCCCCATCCCCAACTGCCTTGTTCCTGACCTCAGCTCCTTCAGTTTTCAGAGTGAAACTGGAATTTTCCAAAAGACTTGAAAAAGCGTTTAGCACTAAGGGACATTCATTTTTTTTTTTCTACTTCTTATTTCTATGTCACTAATGATCCTGATGAAAGACTAACTGAAGTCTTGTTGAGATGCTGTTAAAATTATTCAGTAGTATGACCACTGCTACTTATTTTTCTTCACATTCTTTTTAATTCTATGAAGTTTTCAAATGAAGGCTCGTGCTATGGATGTATGGAACTTTCTTCCCAATTATTTTCTGTGCCCTTTCTCTTCTTGAAAAAAGCAAAGTTATTCTAAGCATGAAGGCTTCCTCTCCGAGCCTATTTGCCATTCATATGCACATTGCTCGGAAGCGCAATGTTTTGCACTTGTGGCTCTTCAGTTAGCGCCTTCGGAAGGACTGCTGAGAAATCTGGGACTAAAAGACTCAGTACATCCACCCAAGACAGATCCTGTCTTTTGTCACTGGGGGTTGAGAACACAGCCAGCCGCTTCCAGGGCTGTTGGAATGACACACCAGGAAGCGAATCTCACAGCTGGATGTGGCGGCACACGGCTGAGATTCCGACTACTCAGTGGCTGAAGCTGAAAGATTGCAAGTTCAGATCTGAGGATGCCCTAGGCAATTTAGCAAGACACTCTCAATGTAAAAATAAAAAACTAGGGGGGGCTGGGGAGATGGCTCAGGAGGATAAGTCCTTGACTGGCAAACGCAAGGATCTGAGTTCAATCCTTGGTTCCACCAAAAAAAAAAACAAAAAACAAACTAGGGATGTAGCTCAGTGGAAGAGCTCTTTTGAGTTTGATCTCCAGTGTAGGAAAAAAAAAAAAAAAAAGTGAATCAAAGGACTAAGGACATAGCTCAGTGGTAGAGTGCTGGTCTAGCAAATGTGAGGCTCTGGGTTTGAAAACCAACACTGCAGAAATGAACTACCTCCTTAACTCGTGTAGTTTCATTTTGTTTCTAAGGCTCTGCCTCCTTTCTGGACTAGTTCCAGGGGTTTGTTCCATTGCGAGCGACATCTACTATTCCAAAGCTGCAGGGTCCTATGCCACATTTCCCTCAGTTTCTAAGACCCAGCTTTTGAATCTGACTGACTGAAAGGCCAAGTGAAAAGAGACACCACATGCTGGACCATTTGTAGCAACTCCTCCCCTCCACCCTGCTGGCCTGCTCCACTTCCCAGAAGAGAAGACTCTTACCTGGCTCCGCCTGGCTGAGGGTGCTGCGAGTGTCCGTGGAATCTGCTACATCCCCACTCATCTTGATATCTATGGGGAAAACACAAACGATGTTAATAACAGGTCAGAATTTTTCTTGCTATGACATATGTGGCTTTAACTAAACAGCAAAGATGAATATGTAATTACAACCACCATCAGACTTTCAAATTCCTGATTCCTGAGCATACAACCATTAGAATATTCATAAGCTTGAGGGGCACAAACCCCCTCCTCCTGTGCTTGCCTCCTCCTCTCAGGGCCTTTCTGTCCTTATTTCTCCCTTGCCACTGCACCATCTCCCACCTTGTGCATCATTCATTGCCACTTTCTCATATCACCAAGAATCCGATGGTAAAAATTTAACAAGGGAGGGGCGTGAGAGTGGGGTGGGCGGACCCTTCCATTTCCAGGTTTCATTTCTTTTATGTTGTAAAACAGCTTAAGTAGTATTCCTCCCTACTCTACATAACGACCCCACCCCGGAGGTAGAAGTACCCTTTAAGAGTTTGCCTTTCTCCCCTTTCAAGTCCAGCTCCTGCCTCTGTCCTCCCTCTGGTTCTCAGAGGTCAGGGCACTGTGGGGATCAGACCTTCAGGGCCACCCTTCTTGGAGATTTTATCCTTTGCGAATCTTTACCTTCTCCCACTCCTTCAATTTGCTCAGTGAGAAAGGGGTTGGCAGTGGGTCACTGCCCTGCCCAGGAAAGCATACACACATAGGCGCCCAAGCTCTAGCCCTGCATCCTGCTTCATTTCAATAAATTAAACATTTACCCCTAACAGACAGCTGCCACCACCAATGAGGCCCTTAAGTCTCCTCCCTGGTCAGTAGAGGGAAAGAAAGAGGCAACTTTAAAGATCAAGATCAAGACCTCTCTCTCTCTCTTTCTCCCCCCCACCTCCTTATTAGGCCACCCAAATACTGAAGCCATAAAAAGCAGAATATTTTATTCAAATTGTGCTGACCCTCCCCCCTTCACCTCCCCTCTTCTCTAGGACAGCACTTTAACTTAGAAACCACAGAAAGTCTTGGTGGGCTAATTTGCATACTCAGCTCCCCAGCCAATCCCAGTCGAGGAAGCAGCCTTCATTTGCATCAGGTAATCAGGCGGCTGGCAGTCGGGATGCCAGAGATCTGGAGAGGATCAAGATGAAGGGAAAGGGTGGACCTCTGCTACAGAAAAAGAGAAAGCATATGTCCTTTTCTTAGGACAGTGATGTGTGGGGCTCTGACAGAGATTTATACCTGGGGGAGCAGGGCAGTGGCTATAACACCAAGGAAGATAGAGGTGGGGAGTCCAGAGACTCAGAGCTATCAGAATGCTCCAGAAATAGGGGAGGGAATAAAGTAACCCTGCTAGTAACCATGCTTTGAGTAGTTTGAGATCTTCCAACCGAAGGAGGACTCCTAGGTAAATTACTGGAGCTCCCTGGATACCTCCCAGACATCCACATTGTACTGAGTGGGTCTAAGAGCCCCAGGAAGACCCTGCAACCATACCTGACCCCCAGGTATTTGGGAAGTGCTTTTGGGGGGGGCGGGGGACCAGGGATTGAACTCAGACCCTTGCTCTTGCCAGGGAAGTGCTTATTTTACTGAGCCATCTCCTCGGCCCTGGGAAGTGCTTCTTGAACCTCGCCTCAGTCCTTCCTGCTGTGGTTTCAAACTATCTGTATAGTCTGCCAAGCATAAACATGGAAGAACTAGCATGGGTCACCTGAGCCATTTGCAAAGGACCTCTGCAGCTGCTTGCTACATTCCCTGGAGGAGCAGGCTTCACTTTGTTCCCCTGTGAGGCTCAGACCCAGAGCTGACAGTACGTGGCACTGATGTGTGGCACAGGGCTCTTCCACTGCACTGAGCACAAGCCCACAGTAGAGACCGCTTGGAGAGTGTGCTCCAGAAGGGCTCTTTCCTGCTTTTAACCTGCTGTATGGGAGCTGAGATAGAGAACACGGATTTTGGCATTAGAAAAACCTGGGGTTTTTTTTTTTAATTTATTTATTTAGTGTGTGTGTGTGTGTGGCCAGCTCAGCCCACCAGGGGGCGGGCTGGCTGGCATGTGGTGCTAGGGATTGAACCACGGTCGCTGTCCTTTTGCTTAGCTTAGCTTGTTGTAAGTAGGTGCTTTAGACCACTGAGCCATCTCACCAGCCCTGAAAAACCTGGGTTTAATCTCAGCACCATCATAGACACTTAATAGCCACGTACGTGAATTTTGTCACCTAAAAAGGGGGGAATAATCAAACATACCTCCCAGCTATAATGAGGATTAAGTTCAACAATAAAGACAAATAAGCACTTCATAAACAGACCCATGAAGCAGACACCAGCTCAGATGCTAGTCTGGCTCTCCTCTTGCCTCCTTGGCATACCCTTCCCTATGACCACGAACAGCCACAGTCTTGGGTCTCAGCACCCTGTGCCTTATCCATCCGCATTCATATTCTCCATGCTCTGCCTTCATAGAACTGTTCATGTGCAGAGAAAAAGGCAAAGAGGCAGCGAAGCCAACTCTAGACACTTAAAAGGGTAACTTCCTGAGCTGCGATGTAATTTTATGCCTGGAACTCAAACTTTCCTTCAATACCCATTCCCTGTATCATTTTTAAGTTCACCCGGAAGCCATTTCATTCACTTTTTTTTTTTTTTTTTTTTTTTTTTGCGAAACTGGGGATGAACTCAGGCCCTTGCGCTTGCCAGGGAAGTGCTTATTCTACTGAGCCATCTCCCAGGCCCCTCATTCACTCTTTAAGCAGATTTAACATTTAGTCTTAATTATGTCTAAAACTTAGTAAGAGAAACCATACTCACCCCACCCCCAGCACTGTGACACTTTGGGCGTAGCCAGGGCTCTGAGCCTGTGCAGAGGGCATAGGGCGATGACCTGTGAAACTTCTCCTGCATTCCCATAGGATGCTGAGATACCAAAAACCTGTTTCTGTTGGGTAGGAGGCTAAGGCTGATGGGTGGGACAAATGCTTGGGTCTCAACTGACAAATGGCCCAACACCGAAACTCCCGAGATGCTGTAACCCTTCACCTGTCGGGCAACACTTGCTGGGGGTGAATGAGAGAGGTATAGGGTGGGGCGAGGCTCCTCTGTGTTCTTATCTCAACCAGCTAAGAAGGCTCCTTGGCATCCTTTCTTTCTCTGGATATGCCATGTAAGAGCCAGTTGTCAGAGCAGACATTCTTCCAGCTTATCTGGCACTGCCATGCCCTGAAGCTGGCCTTGCCCTCCTCATTCTTGGGATGACCCAGGAACAACCCCTCCTTATGTGTCTATGAACATGGAGCCCCTGAGGCAGCATCTCCCTGGCTGCAGGCTCAGTGTTCACTGTGCCCTGGACCTGTGGGGTCAGGGCTACTTGGGGTAGGGGAACCACCTTTCTCTGAGTGTCACCTTCACGTCCTTGAAAGGGACAAGCCCTTCCCCTTGGCTTGTCTCTACATACCTGCTTGTCTCTATACTCTTTTGTGTATGTGTGTGTGGTACGGGGGATTGAACTCAAGACCCTGCACTTGCCAAGCAAGCGCTTATTCTACTGAGCTATATTCCCGGGCCCATTTACACACCATTTTTTTCTATCTCTATCTTCTCTTCTTAGAGCTTGTTCATACTTCTGCCTATCTCTATCTATCCATCTATCTATTCATCCGCCCATCTATCCACCTATCTATTCATCTGTCTATCATCTATCTTTGTGGTATGAGGGACTGAATTCAAGGCCTTTGCACTGAGCTACATCTCCAGTCATTTACAAAAACTTTTAATCTGGGGCAAGGTCTTGTTAAGTGGCTAGGTTTCCTTAGCTGGGCTTAAACTTTTGCTCTGTCTACCTCCACCTCCCAGAGTGCTAGGCTTACAGGTGTGCACCAACATGCCTTAGTTTTTCTTGTTTTTGGCCCAGGAACCTGGAGCCCCTCCTTGGCTGGGAGCCCCTGTGCTGGTGGTGCCATGCCTGCTCAGGTCTTTGTACTCAGTGGGAAAGAAGCTTTGCGAAGTACCAGGTGCTGAGGCTCAGGGCAGACCTGAATCATGGCTTGTACCCCAGTTAGTAGAGCAAGAGGATGGCATGGACTCCAGAGCCCCAGAGCTAGCTGAGCCATTTGGATGAATGGGAGAGGGGGGCAGAGAGAAAGCTTATGCCCTAGTTAGTTCCAGCTCCTCCTCTTTGCCCCATCCAAATTGTCCCAGTGAATCAACTGAACAGGAGTTTCCAAGGGCCCAACACTGGGAATTTATAAGGGAAGTGGTCTATCAAGTATACAGGATTGGGGGCTGGTGAGATGGCTCA